TGTGAAGAGTAAATAGGATCTTCCTGGGCAAAAATAGATTAGGAAATATGCACACCAGATTGTGAAAATAAAATAAACTGAAAAACACAGGTGGGAAACTACATGGTACATACCAGAGCACGAATTTTTGAGTGAAGGTAAAGAACTGAAGAAGAGAGATAAGATTAGAACACTTCTTGCAGTTGATGATGAGCTACTTAAGGGTTATTATGATCTGATTTACATTTTGAAACATTGCTCAAGTTATGTTAGGGAGAATGGACGGATTAGGGAAAGGACAGGATCCAGAGGGAGAATTAGGAGACTTTTGTCATGAAAACAATAGGCGATGATAACTGACCTAAGGCTTTGGAAACTAATATTTTAATACTTCAGACATAAGAATTATGCTTTTTTGGGAATCGTGGTATTTTTATCTCAAATCAGATGTGAGAGTTCAGAAATTCATATGAAGAAAGTATAAATGTAGAGTTTCTCTGCAAAGTGTTTAGCAAAAGCTAACAGGGTCTCTAAGTGATGAAACTAGAAGTAGAACCCAGTTTTTCAGACTTCAAATAAGTTCATTTTATTTTACAGGGTTAGCCTTTGAAGCAACCACAATGGATGAATCTTCGATAGCCTTCATCTCAATGGCATCTGCAATCTGAAGTGTTAGGGTTTCTAGGGATTTTTACAGAGCAGAATTCCACCCTTTAGGCTCTTTGAAGTGTGTTCAAATTATAGTGCCAAGTAGGATTTATTGGATGGATTCCACTCACTGCATATGAGGGTGCTTTTCCAGATTCTCTTTTATTTCTTGCCTGTGCTTCAGCCTTTTTCTTTTCTTCAGCTTCTGCTTGGCTGAACGAGAGGAAATGAAAGGGATCCATTAGGACCAAACGCATGCAATGACTTCTCCACATCCCTGCACTGCTAGTCTGTTTTCCCCCCTTAGGGAGGAGCAATGTTATTCCTTTATCACTACATATCAATGAGAAGCAACTAAACATCCTCCAGGATGGTATGATACCATGACTTCTTCATAGTTTCTGCTTAATGTTGGAAGAAAGACAGTAACAGTGGGCCTAGAAAACTTGCTTTCTAGAAACTAGCTTTCTTTCATGTGGTTAGAAAAGGAGCATCATCAATGTCCACGACAGAGGTATCAGAGATATCAAAATTAGAACCATGGTGACATAATAGCTGGAGGCTGAAAGTGACATTAACAAAGCACATCAACTTGTCCCGCTGTCTCTCAGAGAGGATGAGAGGCAGAGAAGGCCTTAGCTATACTCTCAGAATATGACTACAGCCACCCCTCTCTCACGTCCACAATCTACCTACCATGTCAGGCATACCCTAGCTTTTATTTAAGCTTCAGTGTATTGCTTACTTATGACTGTTGTAGCCAAAAGACAAAATGTGAGGCAGGTGGAAAACAGCCAAGAATTTCCATACACTGTTAAACCAAATAAGCCTAAATTTGCTTTGTACAATGGAATTGCATGGTACATACAGTTAACTGATGGTCTTTCAACCATTTTGGTTGTCAGTCAAAACAAAAACCCATAGATTCTAAATATAAGTCAAATACTTAATCTGACTCAACCAAATAAAGTAAGAGCTCTTCTAAATTTTGAAAGAAAACAGGCAATTCTAATTTACTGAGAAATGTCACTTTATATAAAGTAACATCCATTGTAATTTTATAAGAGTTTATGGCTGTTTCATGGGCAATTTGACTCCATTCAATTTCAGCATTAAGTGCTAATTTTGGACCCTAAATCTCCATGGAAGATCAGATGTCTATAAGCTGCTAACTAAAACAGATTCACATGTGAAGCTTCAGGGGTGAGTACAAGGTCATGTTTGTCAAGATGTTCCAGTGTCAAAAGAGGGAGCATCAGAGAAAACAAGACATCTTGAAACAAGTGACTCTAGGTACTTACTCTCAGGGATCTTATTAACATTCCCTGTGTAACTTATTCAACTCACTGTCCTGTTTGAAGCCACAGTTTCTCCATTTATGAAACAAGTTGGTTCTATTAGATTATCTGAAAGGTCCCTTCTTTCTTTGACATTCTAAAACTCTATACTCACAAGTAGGCTTGACACATGGAACACAAGTTGCCATGCATTTTTCCATCTAGACCACGAACAGGGTCATGTTCTCTGGTACAGAATAGCCTTCCGTTCTTTGCCTGATCTTCATATTCACTGCAGCGTTTCTGAATAATG